TGCTGCGTCCAGCTGTGGGACACCCAATATGAGAAAGAAGGATAAAGACCGGTTGGAGCGAGTCCAGAGGAGGCCACACAGATGCTCAGAGGGCTGGAGCCCCTCTGCCATGGGGACAGGCTGAGAGAGTTGGGCTTGTTCAGCCTGGAGAAGAGAAGGCTCCGGGGAGACCTTATAGCACCTTCCAGTGCCTGAAGGGGCTACAAGGAAGCTGGGGGGGACTTTTTACAAGGGCCTGTAGTGACAGGACAAGGGGGAACGGGTTTAAATTGAAAGTGGGGAGGTTTAGATTGGATATCAGGAAGAAGTTCTTCCTGGAGAGGGTGGTGAAGCACTGGGACAGGTTGCCCAGAGAAGCTGTGGATGCCCCATCCCTGGAAGTGTCCAAGGCCAGGCTGGATGAGGCTTTGAGCAACCTGGTCTAGTGGAAGGTGTCCCTGCCCATGGCAGGGGGGTTGGAACTGGATGGGCTTTAAGGTCCCTTCCAAGCCAAACCATTCTGTCATTCTATGAACATGAGCAATTCCCTTCTGTTTACTTATTCCTCCAGATCTCTGTAGTGTCTATGGTTAAAAGAGAGCCAACTTATTTCTGAAACTTTTAAATTCAGTCTGTTTAATACACAGGTTTCTCCAGCTGATCATGGATGCTGGAACACATAGCTCTCCTGCTCCATCCCAACTGACAAAATGCATTAAACCCAGTGATGAGTACACCAAGCACTTCCCTAAGGTCATCTGTGAGCTAATACGGCCACAGTTTTCTGCTCAGACTCTCCAAATTCAGGAAGTTTCCACGCCTTTAACAAGGCATGCTCTAGACAGGCACTTTCGTGTTAGGACAGACTTGCACTCTGTACTTAAGACCAGCAGGACACAGGTTGGCTCAGACCTCAAATAGCTGTGCTTGAGCTAATGCTGAAAGCCTTCTGAGTGCACAGCATTTTCAGATTGTGGCTGGCAATTTTTTTCCCCTCAGATTAGAGGAAGCAAGTGCAAGCCTGAACAGATGGATCAATCTTTTTAACATTAGTGTAAGATACCCTTACACTGCTGTGGGTCACATATATCTGGGACATGTATCATTGAATATGGCTGTTTTCTACAAAACCATGCTACTATTTTCATTTGCAAAAAGCTGTTACAGCCAACTGCTGGACTGAATGAGAAAGTAGTGCTTAAAAATAAGAAGCCCCCTGTAAGATCAACCCTATGAAAGTCTGGAAGATGTCCATGCCCAGAAGTGTGGATAATATACCCTTTCTTGTGCATGGGCTTTGCAGACAACACTAAAATGGAGAAATCACTGATTTCCCTTCTTCATCGAGTCAGTAAGGGGTCTGAAATGTAACTATTTAATTTTCTTATACTACTTTTATACTGAGCCCCACAGAAGTGCCAATTATTGAAAGTAATTTCTTCATATTTAATTTTACAGACAGAGGCCCATGCCCAAACAACAGTCATGAAAATAAGCACAAAGGCTGATATTAAAAATGCCCAGGATACTACATTATGTCAGATCTGCAATGAAATCTGCAATCAAAGAGAGCAAGGGAAGAACTGCCCCAAAAGCCCAGACTGCATTTGTATGTATTGCCAAAATTCAGAACTTAAGCTACTTTCCACACTTGTTCTGCATTTTTCTGTAACAAGAGGAATGGTTTTCTAATGATAAACATCAGGTGAAAATTTGCTGTGATTTTCTTATGTAAAGTATATTTGTGCCAGTGTTGTATGTACTGGGGACATCACTGCCAACAGTACCTAGCAAAAAGACAACTACAAAGTGGTTAACATAGATATAAGCAAGGAGGAATGGGGCATTTTTTTTTTTTCAGTTGCACATTCCACTTCTCTTTGGCGATTCTGCAGTTTCTCCAGTGCCCGTCTTGGATGCAGCACCCTCTGACATCATTACTGCCTCTTTTTCCAAGCTGCCTGTCAATATGTCATGCAAGAGGGAGCTAGATAAAATCATTATCTGAATAAGGTGAGCTTTGGATGCTTATATGGGTCAAACAGATGTGCACCGAAACTCAGGGAGACGTACAAAGAGTTGCTAAAGGGAAAACTTGCCCACTGGAGCATATTTCAGTACACTTAAAATAAATATGCCTTTCTTGGTGGTCCAACTCCCGTTCCTTACTTTTCCCCTTCAATTTAATTAGGAGCTGTCTGTGCTAGTGAGCCCTGCAATTTTTTTCAATTAGAGCGTGTTGCTCAGAGAGCTCTTAATGATCATACCTTTGCATGTTTCTTCTTTAAGGCACTCAGCTCTTTCTGCTGTTTCTTTAAATGCTTTATATAAGCCTACAAAGAGAGAAGTCGGATCAATTTTTCTGTGGTCATATTGACTTTAACCAGATAAATCCTGGCTACTTCAAACAAATAATTAGGAACACATCTTGAAAAGCTTGTGTCCATACTTACCTTCATTTGCTTTAAATCTTCTATCTTCACTTGAGGAATAAGGTCTATACCTAGGAAGGTATTGATACAGTTTATCTAAAACTTCACACATATTAGTACGTCTCATACTTTTTAATATGAGTTTTACCACAGAAATCTACCTTTAAGTTAGCAAGTAATTAATCTTTTTCACAACATAAAAAAAATAATTGCAGGTTAATGAGAAAATTATTCATCAAGACACAGCAAAGATACAGTTAATTTCCTTTGCAAATGCACTGCTCAATCAATTGCCTTGTGAGAAACGGAAGGAATCAATGTGTGTATTTGAAATCTCACAGTTCTGAAGTGTCAAAACACAGCAATCTAAGAATTGAAAAAGCTCCTTTTCTGAAAACACACCAAACCATTTATGTACATCAAAACTGAACCATGCAAACTTCAGATTTTTGGTCCACAGCTGGAGAGTGCTCTGGCATCATCCATTTCACGGGGAATGCCTCTTGGATAAGATTCTACATGACTACGTACAGTGTTAACCTAATTTAGGTATATATCTCCCCAGTGTAAAACACAAAAATAATGGGAGTGAAAATTTACCTGCAGCCTGCATTTTAATGGGGGTAAAATTTGGTTGTGGTTAATACCAGGCTAGGAGAAAAGGAGCAACAGCATACTCCAAGACTAAGGGAGAATTAAAAATGGAGGAGAAACACAAAATCCTAAGCAGTACAAATTCTAATGCAAACTCAAAACAAGCATATCTATCATATGAAGCTAACAGTACTACTTAGATGAATGAAAATGTTTTGATCACCTTAACTGCAATGCAAAGAAAACCCGATCTCATTTCATCTTTATGCTTTAATACATTTCTTGTGAGATATTATGATTTTTTAAACTACTAAGCACATCCTACACATAATTGTTAAGAAAAATGTCAATACAATGCCATGAGAGTTGTCATCTGTAGGTTTTCTTGTGAGTTCTTACATAAAAACATTGAGATGTTCATTAATACACTGCAAGCATATTTAGTTAGCCACTATTCAGTGTCTGGGGACTACAAGATTCCCCCTGCCATGCAAAGGACTTTCTGCCTTCTAAGGTGAATTTAACTGAAAAATATCCAGGTGCTGTAAAAGAAAACAAAAAGGTGGGGAGAGAGAGGCAATTTCCCGAGGTAACAAGATTTTTTAAATTTTCTTCAAGCATACGATTCTGCTCAATGATATGGTATTGACATTAGTCTAGTAAATGAGACTGGAATAGATTTAGGCACAGGTAAATATAGAGGTTGGAGTTTTAGGAACACAAATCAGTTAACCATTACTGAAAGTCACAGAACAGAAAATATCCCATCCCATTCTTGTGCATTTGAAAGCTCACCCGAGACACCGTATCTTGCTGGATAAGTGATTTCAGCAAGGTGAACTCTATGTTGTAACAATGATAGAATTATTCAGATCATAGAGATAAGTAATACAAAATAAGGATAGTTATGTGGGATGTATAAATGACCAGCTCTATTTTAAGGTGAGAATATCGATAAAAAGGTTTGCAGGCGAGAATGTGCAAGTACTGAAATCTCAGTTTAAGACCAGGGCTGCACCGCGGGTGCTTTTTTCTAAACAAACTTGCTCAGGATTTCATTTTAAAATGCACACTCATTTACTCTGTTCACCAGGTCTGACTCCATGGCAACCAGGAATTAATTGTCAACCTCAGCAAATTTCATGCCGAAGTAATGCATAATAAAACTAACACTTGTGCATCTTGGTGATGACCCGAGATGTGAAAACATCTCGCTGCATCATATGATCTCGGTTTTACACCAGGGAAGGACTTTGAAAGAGTTCAGGTGCCTGGGGTGGCCTATTTTATTGCCAAAAGTGACTCCAGAGAAACGGCATCTTCTTTCCCACATGTGTGTATTCAGCTGTGTCTGCTTAGGTTTAAGAACAAGAGCAGCGAGTGCTCCTTTGCACTCCTCTCAATCCCTTTGGGCCAAGGTGGATGAAAAAAGGGTGTACCAGATTCTAATTCTTGTGGCCCATTAGCAGAAATATTTATTGTGTTTCATTCTGCTGTACTAATTTGTTTTCTCACTTAATCTTCATTACCTGTGACGATAAGTGAGAAACAACCAACCCCATTTGACTCTATAAGATGACTTCGTGGTGTGAAGGGTGAATAGTGAGGAAAAAAATACTTATTCATTTATAAATGAGCACATCTGAGCATTTTTTTGCAATAAGCATGCCATTTCCATAATCGCTACTCAGAGTAAAACCATACATTGAAAACATTTTTAATTGTTGGGAAACCTCTAGAGAATCCAGTGAATTTTAAATACCTTTAATTACTTAAATCTGCAACACTACCAAGGGATTTGTGGACGGAGAAAAAACCAGCAGAAGAGTTCCTGCGGAGTATACCAGAAAATAGTCATTCCTACTGGTGTTCCTCCAGTAGGCCTTTAGTCAACTACTCCCAGAGTCATGCAGGTTACTGCTCCTGGCAGTAGTCATAAAGCTACACAAAGAGGTTACTTAGTAAAATAAAGCTGTATTTTAGTAATATAAAAATTAATTTGCAGTTAGACAAAGACCACTCTCAATAGCAAAAGAAGCTGCCTTCCAAAAGAGTATGAATAGAACTGCAAAACTGAAATTGAGTAAGGACTACTTCTTTCTGAATTACTCCAGAACTGAGGGAGTGGCACATGATTTTTGTCTACCTTTCTTAGCATCGGTCCCAGATCCAAAGCCTGCGGTGGTACTCGGTCGCAGTTCAGAGCTACTCTGGGGCGTTACGTTGGCTTTGGCATTATTGGCTTTTCCTTTTCTGTCGTTCTTTGAGGTGTCATTTGGTACATCAGCTATATCACTCTGAAAGAGAAACGTTCACATCGTAATACATCAACTGTTGTTTTATCTGCAGTATCAAGTTGGGATATGGGAATTTTCTGAACTTGTTCACTTGAAACCTAATTAAAAAAATTGCAACATCCTTTCAAACAACACTGTACTCAGTAAAATATTTGCAACCTATTTTAAATGGCTGCCCACTAAACTATGGCTCCTTTCTCATTTCTTAAAATTTCTACTTCTGAGGGATGTGTTAGCAGGATCCATGAAAAGTCAGTCAGTGCATGGCATTTCTGTACATGTTAACTAAGATAAGCCAATGTATTCCAGAGCAGGACCAAGAGAGTTATATTTGAAAATGAGAAGGCAACATGCATCGATTGGAGAAGGACCAATTTACTTTATAAAAACAACATAGCATGAACATAAATGGGCCATGTTTGTCATTAAGTTCTACTTACAGTTTCGATACCCATAGCTCTCATTTGGTCTGCTCTTTTTTCTGTGATAGACAAAAATTTCTTTGGATCTGATAAAGCATCCACAATATCTGTAAGAAAAAAAAATCAACTTCTAATGATCTTCAGAGGCATTTAATCTTTTAATTGATCTTTTACAAGACATTAATCTTTAGCAAGAGTGTTATTCTACCCCTGTTGTCATAAGCCGTGGCTTGCTACAATAGTGCAGCTTTCCAGAGTGAACTTGGCAGGACTGAAAGCACTCGTTGCCACAGTGCTTGAGCACACCAGGAACACGAATCAGTTTATAATGCACCAAGGGAGTGGTATGAAACCAGGTTCCTCATTTACTAAAAACACACCGACTCCCGTCAGACCACAGTTACCCTAACTTACTCCCAGCTGATGACACTGGGCTTAGAGACCAGAACGGGATCTCCTGAGCCACAAAGCACTAATGGCTTTGTCTCTTGGTTATTCGAGGGGTGCTGACTGACTTGGGACCACAGGCAATTGTAGCAAATGCTGTCATATTTCCTAGCTAAGGAGCAGCTTCAGGTGGGTGGATGAAGTGATCACACTCGCCTTTGTGACGCTCCGTGTCTGGAACGTGCCAGGCTGTGCAATGGCTTTTCTCTGAGACACGATGACCAGTAACTGAATCTTGCACGTGACCCAGAACCACCAGTGGTATCATACCCAGCACGTTCAGATTACTGAATGTTTCCCATATGCAGGGATAAACGTGCAAGCAGGGGTGTACAGGAAGAGAGACACATGAATCTTTACCTGCATATTGAATAACCCCTTTCCGTGCTTAATTTCAACAGTCAAAGAATTCGCAAATGGCAAAGGACACCCTCCACAGCAAGAAAGGATTTTACAAATTAAACTGATTCAGCACCTACGATAACAATGCATTCAGAGACCACAGCCGTGACCTGTTTTGATGATCCCTGTGAAAATTCAACTTCAATATTGCGGAGAATAGGGTCGCTGGTCTCACTTAATAAGCCTTCCTTGTCCGAGCAGTAACTTAAGAAAGGAAGTTTGAACCCTGCAGCCCAACTAACTCATCATTCACTACACAGTATTGTCATTTAATTAACCCAGAGGTTTTCTCATGAGGGGTAGGAGGGACCACAGACAGTGCTTCACCTGCACGGAAGCTGGGTCTTGGCAGAATGCTGCAAAGCCCTATTTCCAGCTGCTTCTGAGGAACAGATAAATGCTTTGGTCCCCTTATATTCTAGATTATCTTACTAGCATAATAGGCCATTATTTCTGTAGTAACAGTTCTGACATGCATGGTTTTCATAATAATCTGAATTTTGTCTACATTTCATGTTATCTCTTTGACCAGCTCTGTAAAAATACTCAACCCACCAAAAGCTTTGTGAAGAAATTTGCTATCCTTCTTGTGCAAACCAGGGGCTGGACTATATTTTCTCCCTTCCAACCTAGGCTGTTCTATGAAATGTTCCTCTGAAGTCACCGGATGCCTTTCTCAAGCAAAAAAAGCACAGATAGGGCTCCCATTCCAACAAAAGTTGTATTAAATGATTCGTAGCGTTACCCTGGAAAGCTCTGTTTATCTACACAAATAGGTTGTCTCCAATAACTCGTGACCCAGTGATGTCTTCTGAAACTTCCTTTATAGACGTGAAAACCAGGTGGAATTTATTTTCAGCCATAGCAATGGCCTTACAGCTCAGCACTGACTGTTCCCCTTTCCCTAACTTCGTAAGCATGGCTTTTTGTCCTCGGCGTTCACTCTTCAACGAAAATCCAGGACTACCCCACTAACATGACACATCATTTGAGAATGGAACCTGATTATCACGAGCTTCAACTTAAAAATGACTAACATGTTTGGGACAGCGAGACCTCTGTGAATTGCATTAGTAACCATACAAGCACATCACCAAAAGCTCAGCATTTCTACAAGGGGGATGTGACTCATCACTGCCTCTCACACTGTCATTTGTCCTCTGCTTACGTTTTTCTTTCTCAGTGAGGTAAGGTGGGGGTGGGGAGTAGCATTTTGTAGAAGAATCTCGACTCTTCCAGAAAAATTACTGGAAAAGTACATTACAGAGGACTCTAACCACTAACCTAAGTTGCCATGCTTACTTACGCACAGACTTCTTTTACAGAAGCTTGTCTTTGGAGAATGCTACTTCATTTGCATTAATTTGCACCAATATTGTGTTTTATTGGCAACAGAGCAGCTGATGCAAATAAACTACAAGAAATTACTAAGTTATATAAAAAATAATATTATGCATCTCGTACAGCCTACAATGCATTACGCATTCTAGTTAGTATTCAGTGCAAGTTTTTAAATCTTACTCATACAGGTTAAAAAAGAAGAAATAAAAGAGAAAGTAGGCAGCTATTGAATTGAGCTATAGCTTCCTACAGGTGCGCTCAAACAACCATGGGCACCCTAATGATAGCTCATAAAACAATGAGAGGTGCACTGCAGATGATAAGTAATTAAAAAACACATGCCAAAAGAATACTAACGATTCCACCCAAGTGTCAAAAGTTATTTCCCAGCTGTTCATCATGCTGTTGTTCTATACCGATGGGAAAAATACATGACACACATCAAAACTATCTGGGAAGGGAAAAAGAGAACTAATAATTGAACTCATTTAATTCATGTTAATATGAAGCCTATTTTTCCCAACACTGACAGCAAGCTATGACAACCAGTTCTCTCAATCTAGTAGCATTTTACTGTAAGGATAGTGTTACTTAGGGGTGGTCACATTTTTCTATGTCTTCACCTCTACCAAATACACCCTCTGTACCAATGCTGAACGTACCAGATCTGTTCAGCCACTACTCAACGGCACACGATTTGCAAATTCTAAACTGGTGTTCAAATTCTCTTTGAAAAACAAGTCTTTCACTTCTGAATTTGTATACTGCGGTTTAAAAAAAAGAAAAAAACATTCAAACTATATGAAGTTTAAATTCTACTCTTAGAAAAACTGGGGTATCATTCAGAAAAAAATAAATCCCAAATCAGAATTATGTCCTTAGTTTAGAAAATATTTTAACTGAGTCATTTACTGTCAAAAGCTTACGTTTAGGAAAGAATTAAAGCACATGCTTAAATGTGTCCCTCAGATTCATTTACTGCCTCAAGAATCCTAGGCTTAAGCAGAAGCTTTCACTTGCCTTGAGACGAAGTCCAAGTTAAATGCTGTAGATGGAACATGCCGCGTAAAGGCACGGCAGCGCTCCAAGGCTGTGGCAAAACTCCAGCTGACTAGCCAGCGACCAGGATTTCACATATGAACAACAGAAATGCTGCTATAAATGCTTAACTTTTTCCACAAAATTTTGTTACTGAAGTCTAGGCCTGTTCTTTTTTTTCTAAAGCCTGGATAAATACCAGCAAACAGAGCCTAGAAGATACGTTGCCTAATATATTAGGTAAGTCTTCTGCTTCTCCAGTTTGTACTATGGAAATTACAGTCAGAGAAGCAGTAGTAATTCCTTGCAAAGACACCAGCTCTGAAATAATTTTTGCAAAGAGCAAAACATCATTTTTACCAATAATGTTTCACCAATCAACTCTAAGGTGAACTTCATTTTGCTGCAGTCGGAGCACTAGCATTTAATACAATTTCTATTTTAGAGCTTTAAATATTTTACATGTTGTCTAATGCACAAGTGAATTTCATCTGCAGTGAGGAAAACATTTCCCAGAGGTACACCCTCAGGGCAAACTTACACACGACACTGATTTAAGTGGTGTAATGATTATTCTCAGCTGTTCGTCCCTATCCACATGTGGCAATCTGCCACTCCGCAGTATAAATGACCATGGCCCTACCAACCTGATCACGGAAAGGGCTCACATTAAAAACAACTTCCCTGACAACCCAAAAATAATTAAACCACACCAAACTCATGTAAATGCAGTCAGGTTTTGGATGCTGAATTCTTTCACGTTTTTAAAATATGCCAATATTCTCAAGAATACAAAAGTCATTTTGTTTGAAAAGAACACTTCTAGATTCTGCATCAAATGTTTATAACTACAGGCCAAACAATACTGCCAAAATACATGATAACCTTCCAAAAATTTAGGTCAGAAAAAATGTAATTAAAAAAGAAATCAAAAGAAGAATCTTCCTAAAATGTCAATATCGAAAATCAAATTGAGCTAAACTCCAGTATTAGGTTATTTTCTGTATTATTCAGTCATTTAACAGAGACATGCCATTATCATTAACGCTGAGGCATGCCCTTGGTCTGAAAGCTGATTCTTAACTGAACACACAGGATTTCCAAGGGGTTAAGATACTAAATCTTTCCAATCCTCCAGCGTTGCGTGTCTGCTTCTGGCTGGCACCCTGACACCGCAGTACTTCCACACCAACGCTCAAGACCTACAGCACAGTGAGACACAGGTTTAGCTCACCTCCAAAGCCGTCAGGCACGTATGTTTTAAGCACAATGTTGCAGAAAACCGTTGGAAGCGAGAGTGGTTTGTTGCCCTCATTCCGGAGGGAAATGTGTCTGTAACCGGCTTGCAGACCATCCAGAGGCAGGATCCTCTGGCCAATCAACTTATTATTGTCATCATACACTGCTATTCTCAGGACAGCAAGATCAGGGAGAATAACCTGGAAAGTCATAAAATGAAGAAATCCAATGACTCTCATACAGTAGCACCCTCCCCACCTCCCATGTTTGAACCATGCACTTTGTATGACAGAAACAGACTATCATAAGTGTAAGATAATGTCATTCCCTGCAAATTGCACACTTTAGGATGAATCTTTCCCTAATTTTTTTTTTTCCCTCCACCCTAAATAACGGGTAGGTTTTAGAATATGCAAATCCTGCAGCTTACAGTTACACTAGCTAACTATTTTGCATATTTATTTTTCATCACTGAAGACTAGTGTCATCACTAAGAAGGCCGGTACTTACTACCTGGGAAATGACAGATACAGTGGCAATCACAGGGTAGATAGCGTTGAATCAGGAGGAACTAGGACAGAAAGAAGGGATTTGGGATGTATCCAAAAGGGCAGTGAAAAACAGAAAGAGCGTGAGCGCAAGCTGATGGGATGTATGGAGAACTATGGGTCCTGCAGAGGGGAGAGGCAGAGAGAGGAGGGCAGGAGAGGGTGACAGACCTGCTGAAATGGCGTGCTGCCAGCAGAAGTGGGTGTGCTGTGCTCACGACGTGAAGGGTACATGGTAGGCATGGTGGGCAAGGATGCTGCCAGCTATCTGCATCTGTCAAGCCCCATCTGGACCAACCGAAACAGTAAAAGAAATAAAAATCCCCTGCCTTCCCTGCAACAAAGGTGCTGCCTCTGTGCATGGAGCAGAGAGGAAGAGACAGCCTAACTGAGAGGTGCACCCTCTCTGCCAGCACGGAAAGGTCTTCCCACTCCGTCTCTACCTGGCTTTATTCATCGATGCTTATAGGACAAAAGGAAAGACCTAAGTAAAATTGCATCTACTACCTCCCTTAGACTGTCCCCCTGCCACTTCCATTTTCAGCCTCAGAGGACACACATTGCTTTTGGTCTCCGAACCCACTGGAGCTATCCACTGATGTGCTGCTCTACATGACTATAACTTTGCACTCCCAGCACAGGTTACCATCAGCGCTCAGCCCATCCTCCCCCTTACGCAACAGAGTGACAACACAGAACTTGAGTTAGAATGACCGAAGCTTTATTTTAATTAAAATAAAAACAAGAAAACATGACAGAAGAACAGTCAAACACATTACCTGAGAACAACTGTGTAGGATTAAACATCAGCTTGAGGAGAACACTGTAACCCAAATAGGGCAGGTAAGGTGTCTCCTCTGCAGGCCATAGATCAGCACATCTTTCGTTACATGATGGGCTCAGATACAGATTTACTAGGCAGCAGGAGTGGGCACTAAGCCGTCTGTTGTTCCCTTGTTGCATCCTGGTAAGCACTTCCGCCCTCATGACATTTTAGCCCTGTGCACCCCCACACCTTCATTTCCTCCAACTAGAGGAATTTTTCCTGCTGCATTTATGCCACTCATCGGCTTGGTCATCGATGTAGGTCTGGATTGCAATGCTAAGCCTGATGTGATCAGGGCCTGAGGTGAAGAAAAATAACCTCTTGGCTGACTTAGGAGTTACTCAAGAGAACGTGCAACCATGTAGCTGTTCATTGCAGAGTAAAGCAGAAAATCCGAGGAATACTGGCATCAGCCACTGTACCCATGCCACGATGCACAGGTACTCCCCTTTTAGACTGACGCTGTGTTTGTGGACCTTTTGATTTAAGAAATGAGAAAGCAGCAGATGCTGGCCATATGGCCAGCATGATTGCCTGTCATTGTACCTAAGCATCTTCTCTGCCTCCTCCTATACGGAGAAAAGCCCTTGAAGTCACATTCATTCCAGAATACGTATAGGTCCAGAAAAACCTCTTGCATTAACTATGTTTCTATTAAAAACTGGTTATACTGTTAAGAAAGGAGATTATGTGTGTAACATACCCAAGTGTGTAGTGTTATCACCACTTGGCAAAGTCTGTCACTTTGGGATAAAAGAGCAACGATTTTGCATGACAACGAAACAGGTGTAAGCAAAACAGATGTTATCAAAGACAGCACTGCTAACACATGTAGTCTGGATGAAAATCCAGTTGACAGAAAAAAAATTAAATAAAAGTATATATATGTATCATATATATAAAGACTGAGAGATAAAAACTGAACACAGACGACTGATCTCTCTTTAAATCCCCCATCCCAAGAAAAAAAAGGTTTGTTTTTCTTTTGTTATTAAAAAAAAAAGAGAAAAGGAAAAAGAAAAAGGTACATGATGCACATGGACTACCGAAGGAGGGAGCTGGCGACACATCTGAGGAACACAGCGCCCTTCCAAATTTTCCATGTAATAACATTGACCTTAGCGTTGGATGCAGCATCTCACCTGCCCTCTGGGCTGAAGGAACAGTGCAAGATAGCAGCCACTGCCAGGGCAGGGAAGAAGAAATCTCCAAGGAATGATGGTGTCCACCAGCGGGGGCTCATTCTGAGCAGACTGCATACCTTGAACACAGGCATGGCCACGGAGGAGGTGGCTACCTCCAAGTGGGAGGAGGAAGCAAAGGGGAGGGTAAAGCCAAACAGAAACAAACAAACAAAAAAAATCATGTGACAGCTGCAGAGGTTATCCATTAGAAAAATAAACCAAAGCAAAATTAAAAAACAAAACAAAACAAAACAAACAACCTCTTGAAAGCTTATTTCAGCTTTAGATTGTTTACTGTAGTAAACAGGAACCCTACAAACCCTTTTTCATGGGAGCAGTACTTATTCATGTGAGCAGTCAGACCGAAGCAGAGAGGGGTGGCTCAAGTGAGCAAGGATGCTCATGGGCAAAAGGGCTGGAACCACAAACTGTGCTTTCCAAATATCCTACCTTTCGAAATACAAATGATTCTTCATTGTAAACAGGGTTCAGACCATTGTTCATCACCATGCGTGTTCGAAATTCTTTACGTATCGTGTCCGTGGGTAAACCATACATATCCACTTCTACATACGTACCAATTTTTTTGTCTGATAAGAACTGGCCAGATATTACCTGCAACATAACAACGGAGCAGTAAGGAAAACCAATACAAAGTACGAAGTATTTTAGGAATACTAGAAATATTGGTATTTTTTTATTGACAGCAGTCTGAAAAATGCTTTACACAGAACAGATATATTTATTTCATCATAGGAAAATGGTAAATTTAGTGCTAAAATTGCACTTCTTCAGAAAAGCTTTTGTGTGAAGACCTTAAATATATCCTTAATTTGAAATGATTGTGCTCATTGTGCTGTGGTATTAGCAGCTGTAAGTCAGTCAGCTCAATTAGCTGCTGTCTCACAGATGCATTCGCCATGTTACTGAAAAACACTGAATGAAAAAAAACACATTGGGCACTGCTATTCTGCAGTTTTAAACTTTCTGTTCGGAAGCACTGTCATCTATTATATGTCTTGACTACAAAGAGGTGAAAGGAAACTCTTGCGCTGCTTTCGCTTAGGTAAAGGTTTTAAACTAATCACACGTCAGTCTCATTCTGTATTATGTGTCTGGGAAATGCCAGATGCTTAAAAAGCAAACAAACAAAAACCCCACACAACTCCTCTATATTGTTATGCATATGAAGATTTGTTGCAATTTTACTCCAAGTCAAGATTAATCTAGCCACAGCAAGCGATTACTCCAGGGAGAAGTTTTAATCCATCAAGATAATCTGCTACTAAAAAATACAACTAATCATTTCATTACTATGATCAAGGAGGGAAGAAAAAACCTGAAACTCAGTTTCAGAGACCTAAGCTCATTTGAAGTCTTTGTCTTTTCATGATCTAACATTCCTCCAGGGAACACTCTGGTCAACAAATCTGAAAAGTTACGTGGTTGAGGAGTACCATCACTCACTTCAGTCCCCTCAACTCTTTTATAACAAAATTTATACAGAATTTTATACTAGTTTTAGTCACACAAAAAGAGCAAGTGGCAAAATACTTGATCTAAGAACTATCTCCAGTGATATTCAGCACTTATGTTTTCACCACTAGATCCTAATTCCTTTATTTGGAGGGACTGTACTGTCATTAACACTGAGAAAAACAACATTAATAAGAAGGGGTGGGTTTTTTTTTGTCTGGAGGTGCAAATGAAACTCAGTTTGATGTCTAGAATTCACAATGAACCCTTGGTTGGAAAGAGTTTGCAATTTCCATGCTGTACATAGAAAGCGATAGCTGAAAGCGTCTCTCGTTAGGCTGCACATAGGGTATTTAAGCAGAGAGAGCCGAGCGTCAAGTCACAAAAAGGGTTTTACAGTTGTCAGCCTCCTTCCCGAATGTGATATCTAATCATGCTTTAGAACTGCAACTCAAAGATAACCCCAAAGTAAGGACCTTCAGCACAAGAACCATTTTTCTCTGTTTATTTCGATAATATCATTTCCATGTGTGCCCATACTCCTCCTTGCTCTGTGGTGACAAGTGATGTTTGTATAATTTCATACTGTCCCCAGAAATTAACTTCGCTCATTTATTCATTTGTGAGGGCTCATGCAATTCAAAAAGAGCACAAGGGGGTTTAAAATTCAGTGATAATGTATAATAACAGATCATTTGTAATTCTATCATGTTCCACTCAGATCAAATAAACACAGATGTCTTAGCCAGCAATAAAAAAAAAACAAAACAGTGGAAACAATTGGACGAAATCCACACAATCCAAACTCGTATTCTGTAGGTATCCTATTTCTGTTGGCACGTAAATGTGATTTTGGATGTAATAAGATGACAGAAGTTTGTCTACTTCAGTTTTACCTGTACAGAACATGTTGCAGCAATTACACCATCTACAGGAGTTTCAGAGAAAGGATCAAACGTTCGATCTGGTCGTCGCATGAAATCCGGTTTAAGCAGATACCTTATTTAAAGAAACAGAAGAAGAAAATGATTCTTGTGTGGAAATTAAAATTGTATTAAAGACAAATAAACTGGATGTTCTGGCTTTAAACAACCAACTCTCCTACAACACTGCAAATCTAGCAAGTGTGAGGAAGTAAAGGAAGTGTTACAGTTGTCTAGAGTACAGATAAATGTTTATCTGAATTTTGAATTACCAGCTACTCAGAGATTAAATCAACTGAGCATTTCAAGATGAAAATAAATAGAATATAATCAAAGACATTTCAAAATAATTTAATCATACATTCTAAAAATCCAGAGATTTATCATATAATAAAAAGTAGATGCTGTCATTTGTTTTAATTCTTTAACAATTTGGAAAAATACAGAGGGCTTATTCGATTTGATTTTTTTAAATGAAGCAGTTCCATAGAGTCAGGATCATACAATAAATTTCAGCTTGAAGCTAATTTTTTCATCTCAGTTATAAAACCCTGGGGGAAACAGCTGATAATGTCAGTGCTGGCAGATTGTTAATTATAGTAGCATAAAAGGTACTACCGTAATAACACAATACATCCCTGAGGACTACACACTGGATCAACATATCAATGAAGCCGATACATGCTCTGGTGAATCAGAACCCAAGGATTCTGCCATCAAAATAAAATAGCACTTCATCACAGAAATGCCATACTACACAGGACAGGGGTTCTATTCCACTGGTGGAAGAAAACGTGTAAGGGGAGTCATCCTACTAAGTCTGCAGCCCTAACAGATAACAGCTGCTAGAGGATTATTTTTTTTATCCACCCTTAGTCCCTCCAGTGAATCACTGGTACACAGAGTTATAAGGGTTTAGACGAAATTCAGAAATAATTAAAAAATGCTGGAAAAATTCCAATGGAAAGAATGTCAATGTTTTCTCTTTTTTTTTATAATGTGGCTTCTGATTAGAAAAGGAATATTCCTCATTTTTCTTACATTATATATGTGTGTGATTTCACAATACGTTATTAATTTAAAGTAGGTTATAGGCAGAAGGGAGCTACTAGAAGCATCCTTAGCCTCTGCTTCAGGTCCACGGAAATAAAAATCGTTGAAGCTAGAGTGACTCGATCTTGTTTCATCAGCATGAAAACAGCAAATCGGAACAAAAAAAGAGTACAGACAGAAGGAAATGTAACTTTTTATTTTCATTGCTTTGTTTGTTTTCTGTGACTGAAACAGCACCACATTTATAACGCATATCAAAATATTACCCCTATATTGCTATGTATTACCACTGTATTACTGTAATACCAGAAGACTGACATAATAAACAAGTAATTCAGTTCATAATAATGCTGGTCATTTACAGAATTTGGCACGAGTGATTACGTGCTCTTTTACTAGGCTTGTGGGTTGAACAAGAAAGGAATCGTACCCTGCCATTAAAAAAAAAAGCTTTGTTTTTCGTGTATTTTTGTTATTCTGACTGAAATGACCAGAGCCTCTACTTTCATCAAACCTAAGAGCCTCTGTCTGAAGAGCTGACAACTGGAATAAAGTTGTGGAGTGGCAAAGCACTATGTTGCCCATTCTGCAAATGAGGAAATTTCCAAGCTTCATCTACTCAGGTTCTCTTTCTGAATAATATTTGCATTAGTAAAAGAGTTGTTTCTTTTCCAGGATGAGTTTTTGAGATTTTAATGTGTTTCTAGACTGTCATTTCCTATAATTCATCAAACTTCTCCTTTCTCTTGATGTTAATGATCAGCCTATCCTATTGAGATTCTTAACATTTGAGAAAAATCTATCAGCATCACTTGAGCCTCCTTTTTCATGCAAAAGTCATGAGCGGGAACTTAGACAGATGGAACACTTCAGTATTCTCTGTGAAATCTGCTCTCCAACTGAAGCACACAGATTAAAAAAATGTTCCCTATGTATAAAGACTCAACCTGTCCAAGTAAATTTGGCAATTCTACCAAGTGTGCAGTGAATCTCCATTCTGAGGCACATCTTCAAAGAGAGACAGAGAACAGAAGCTGCAGATGTGTTTAAATAACTGTGTATGGTATCCATTATCTTCATAATTTGCACACAAAGCTTGTTCATTCTCATCTTTAAAAACTGAGCATAATTAAAAAGCATATTCATCAGAATACTTCCTTGCAGGAGATAATTCTCCTTGAATTCTGCTAATTTCTACTCTTCTCCAGCATCCTATTTTTCTTTTGTAATACATAACGAATAGTAACAAAATTTTATTAAAACAATAGTAAAGGATTCTGGTACACAGTGAAAACAGTTTAAATCACATCACTCACCCGCACGATCCGTTATATTCAAATTTTCCTTGGTTCAACTGCATTGCTAAATCTGTCAAGAGAGACAAGAATTGCTATCTTTCCTTCTGAATAATGCGGATCATGTACAATCCTTTTTAGAAAAGAAAATAAGACTGTTTGTCCAGAATAAACAGTTTAAATGAAATGTAGATCTAATGCATATAAACCACACACACCTAAGAAATAAAAGGAAGCAATAGGAAAACTTCAGGTTTCTTTACCGTAGTAACAGCTTTATCCACCAAGTTGAAGTCTACGCTGTACTTAGAAGACAGCCTCTCCCTGAACCCCAACACACCCGGTAGGCAAAGAAGCATCAGACTGTGGTCACATTAAGTGCCTGGGATGGGATTTCCATCACCTAACTTTCGGTACCTACAGCAGATGCCTCCATTTCTGCTAGTGGTCTAGAACTACTTTCAGTACCGGAGAGATACAGACACTTTTAACAGTGCAATTAATCTCAGTCTATGGCAGATATATAAATTGGACTAGACGAGACATCCTACAAGTGTGTATTTGTCTACAGTGACCACAGATAACTACCTCTGATGAAACTCTCTGTATTCTGATGTTTTAAAGAAGGGGAGCTTAATATCACACTGGTTTTCTATGGGCTTAATTGAATAAAATACCACAAAAAGAAACCACAAAGATCATGCAGTATTGCTTAGTTTCAGTATTTAAAGCATCTGAGTTTTATCCAATGCATTATTATGGCACTTGTATATAAAGACAGAGAGTAAACATGTAACAACCCCCCTCCCCTCCACCCCTCTCCCAAACCTTGTAAAAAATAAAGTGTTTTCCTGCAGGTTTCCAATTACACTAGAACACAACGTCCCTTGCTTAGTGGTAACACAGGTATCCCATTCCCCAACAGATTCTACCTTCAAAACCAGGCAAAATATTTCCTGTGTGTTCTCTGTTACACAAAATAAGACTGTCATATGCTCATACCAGTTATTATTTGCTTTCCTGGGCAGCCTTAACTCAATTATTCTCCAGCCTGACAGCACAGTTGGACCACAGGAGACTAACACAGGAAAGGTGTTCACTGCCAATTCCACAGTAAACATGCTTCCTTCGGCAACATAAAGGGGTTCGGAACGACACGCAGTGGGCAGAGGCAGTGTAGGGAGCAGAGTGAAGCTTGCCTATCTGCTCCAACCTCCAAAACATGTCCAGGGGAATGCGTTACAAGCAGTGTACCCTAGTAAGCTTTCTCTTGCCTCCACAATTAAGCTTTGCAGGAAAGAACTCAGGGTATAATCGTTAGGGGTGTCTGCAGTACCAAAGATACTGTTTGGGGCAGGGGGGGAGCAGAAAAGCACTATTACAGCTAGAAAATGGAAAAGCTGGTCTGTTCCACATATGACTGAAGACATTCCTAGGTTAATAAAAGAAAAAAAAAAACACCAACACACAAACAAACAAACACCCCAAGAACCAAACAACGCACACAAAACCGGCTACACTGTCAGTTATATACACACCTCCATTGAGCAGGGACAACGCATCTCTCAGTTTATGCTGCAGAGAGGCATTTACATTCCCTGGCATCCTTCTCTCAGCTGGGATCTCAGACCCCATTCTCTGATGCTTAACACAATGCTTTAACACTTCACAATAACTGGTCTAGAAATGCATTTGGCACACAATCATTATTTTTTACCATCTTAATTTGTACGCTCCTTCATCTTTGCTTTGGAGACATGCATCCAACTGTGCCTAAGCTGTGTTTTGTGAAAACAGTGATCTCCCTGTAATTAATACCTTTTATTAATAAAACATTATCATTTATGTCAGAAGATACAGTACTCTATTAATTTTTCCATGAAAGGGAGCTGAATTTTCCTTCTATGTATGGTTTTTTTATTGCTCCTTACCTTACGCTTCTGTAATTCCACCCCACCGTATTATTTAGCCATATGTCTGTTTCCTCAAAAAATGCCAGAAGCAAATCCATGGCATCTGTTTGAGAGTTACTGCCCAAGCCATTCTTTAGGATTGAGGTTCACTGGTCGTTGCTGCGTACCTGGGGTTTGATAGTTCAGTGAGACCATCTGGCAGCCAGCGTTCCAGAAAATTTGAGGCATGTAATTACTGGAATCCACTCGGCCTCCCTTTGGGTATATCCGACTCATTTGTCGTTTATTATAACTATATAATTCATCAAGGAAAATGAAATAAAAACATCATAGAAATGTATGATCATATCCTGGTACCTTCAATATTTCTTACATTAATCCTACTATTTCGCATCCTTTCGCATACTTTCCCTTCTCCTTTATAGACGTGGAACACTGCAAATCTAGAAAGCTACAATTCACATTTATTTGTAGCATTAGTAGATTAGTAGAGAAGTGGCACGAGGAGGTGAAAGGATACTTCACAAACTCAATGGCATGAGTCTTCAAATACCCCAGTCCAACCGATTCATTGAAAGAAGACATATTATGGTGAATATTACGTTCTAGAAAGAAAAGACAAGACATTTTTTTAAAAATTCTGTAATGACAAATCAAAATTCAGAGCCATGCACTATATGTAATAGCAGGATATAGAAAATCTGATCAGTTTTCCCATTATCTGCCACTCAGAATCAAATTATACTGAAGAGAAATTTCATAATACTGCTGGCTTGCCTTTTTCTTTCCCTTCCTGGGAAATCAACAAAACTTTCATTTTTGTTTAGGACAAAATTGTTACTCAGGGCCTGTGTTGTGTGGTTAGATAAGGCAAAACATGACAAATGCTCCAGCATGCAATACGAAAGCATCAGCTAACTGCTGACCACTGTGACAATCACGCTCGCCTTATTTTACAGAAAGATGAACTGAAAAATGCGGTTTAGTCGGAAAGATCTATAGAATACAATCAACCTCAACAGCTTCATATTCTCCCAGTGATTTAGTGACTCCGTGTGGATGACCAATGGAATAACACGCTAACTTTACGTTCAAGGAAACATCAAAAAATACACTGGTGACGGTCATTAAACTCTAAGTGTCTCACGCCATTTCTAAACTCAGCAAATGTAGAGATTAAAAAACTACCTAGAATATGCAGACAAATACTTTTATTTCATTCAACCTTTTATGTTACCTTCAGCTACATCGAAACCTTGAAATTTTACAGGTTGAGCATAGTTGACCATTGTTGATAAATATGGATGTATATTGGTTGTGGCACCTACATATTTGTAAGATGCCATCCATGCTTGTTCATCTTCAACAGTTACTAAACCCTGAAAACACATTAAAAAGAATAATCACTATTTGTGTGTGTGAACACTGTTGTTGGAATTTTCAAATGTGATACAAAATTATACCCAAATCTGCAGAAAGTTAAAGAAAGTGCAAATTAATACAGTAAAAGTGGAAATCTAATGTCATAAATTAACATTTATTTTCTTGCTGATATATGCACCAAACACTCCCAGTGTTACAGGATCATGCAAGAGGCTGATGATAGAAAAGCTTCTAAGCAGTGAGTAAATATTACATGATGTTAGTAGGATAACTTTGGGATAAGAGATAAATATTACAACTGACTGAAGAATAGTGGGAGGTAACGATCTATCTTTGTCAAATAAATTCCTAAAAATTGTGATTTAATACACATTTTCTTACAGCAACTGCAGTGGGAGAATGCACACTTGGTACTGAGTAGAACTTACTCAACATCAAAACAAAAATGGGATCAATGGCTAATCTTTACTAATAAAAGCAGACCAAAATACAGGGATTACAGCCTTCATTGGAGAAACGGATCTCACAAGACCAACAAGAGACACAGTACTGAGCTCATAATCCTGGCCACTTAAAACGATAAAAATCTGCATCCATCATTCACACAAAGATGTACTATTTTTACAGTAGAACTTCAAAAGTTTTCTATAAGTATCTCATCTGCTAGAAACCCACAATAGGAAGCACGGCTCATGTGGATCTACCTGTCCAACCTTCTCCTTTCCCTAAACTAGTGTGAAACACATGCTTTTCACTGAAGGAAAGGAAAGGAAAAGAAAGATCTCTGTCAATTCAAACTCCACTAGGCTTACTGTTCATGGTATTTTTCCCACAGCCATTTTTGCTTGTTCTCCTACCAGTGAACCAGTTACCAAAAAATGTAACCTACTGTAGGCTGACAACGAACTTCAGCAGGGAAGCAGTCAGTATATTCAAAAATTCTTACAGTATAGCTTTTTATTCTCAGATTACAACCCACGTTGGTCAGAAAGTTCTTCTCCATTACTGTACCAGGAAATAGTAACGGGAAGCACCGCAAAGTTCTTTCTTGGGCAGTCTCAGCGTGTCTAACAGCATGAAAGCATGGAAGAAGGCGGCAGTTCACAGTACCTACACTACTGCAACTCGTATGATCAGGAGATGGGAAAGGAAAGGAATTGTGAAACCACTTGCCAGTATTGTGGACATGTACCTGCCACACAGGGCAGACATTTAAAAAAAATCAATTGCACGCGAAGTGAAACAATTTATGCCTTGATATGAGGTGATGATTATAGTCACAAAGAACATCATTTTCTGACTGCATAGAACCGCATCAGAATGAGTCCAGGTGCACCTGATTTTATTTTAGAGTGAACTAAACTTCCAGTGGCCCATGAAATTTTAATGCTGATCACCAGGGCTCAACCCAGCTGCTTTTCAGGAATCTGCATATTGAGGGTTCACAGATCTCTTCCCTAAATAGCCAAATGGTACATCCCTTTATTAACAGCATACAGGCATTTTTTTTGTTATGAGGTCAGTATTTGTTAATAGAGTTTAGATCAAATTAAGGCCAAATTCCTTCAAAGGAACTAGTCCTTTTAGGTGTCTTCATTTTTGGAAGGCCAATAATTCATGAAGAACTGACCACCCATCTTCTAAAAACCAGGCTCCTTCAATGTGCCTCCTGCTGACTGCTCAGAATTGCTAATCATATTTTACTATCTTGATCCATAAATGCCTAAGTAAGAAATCACAGTGAAAATGAAGTCAAAGGGGATTATGCGTGCCTTAGTGCCAAGGCAATAGTGCCGTTAGTACTATTCACTTGCAGACTCCTAATTTTTAGAGTAAATGGGCTATATTCTTTGCAGCATTCACAACTTTAAAGCTAGGAAGTAGAAAGGGGTAAGGATGGATTGTTTCTTAAAGCTTAGGGAAACAAATGAACGGTTGCAACTGCAATGACCCTTTTTAGGGACTAGACAAAACAGCGGGAGAAAGTTCATCTCCCTAGGTTATTAACACCTCCTCACCCCTCAAGAAAAGAAGCAGAACCCGCTTAGAAAACAACATAGACTGAAACAAAGTGTGGTTAGAAACAGGAGTAGCTTTAATGAGAGAAGGAAAGGAAGAGCAGAAGGAGGTGGGAAGAGTCTTACAGAAGGGATTCCTGGGAGAAGATAAATGCAGAAGTCCTGAGAGGAAAGCAAAAGGAGGAGAGAGAGGAAACCAAAGTGCAGTCAGGGTAAGGGAAAAGAAAAAAAAAAAAAGAAGCAGGGATGATACATCACAACACCATTCGAAGAACTGCTGTTTCCCAGGGCATCACATCTGAGACTGAGATCAGACACTTCTAAGGAGGCAAAAGCCATGCACTCCAGTCTGTCCCCAAATTTTCTGACAGCCCTAACCCCCGTATAAAAGTACAGCAGAAGAAAACCTAGAGGAGAAAAGGGGGTAGAGTCACTTTCAAAAATACTCTGTATGTGCAGTGAAATTGTGCATAAAATTGTTAAACCGCCAAGAATGCATGGTAAGTAATATGTATGCTATATATAAAGCAATAAAACAAGCTACGTAACATCCTATGTGTCACCTTTTTACTGTTTTCTTGCTCAGAATCTTCAACAGCCTAAGGGAAAAAAATATATATACATTACCCAAAGAAAAGACAATAGGAAACACTCACAGTAAGAAAAAAAAAAAATCCTCAGAATTTTAATGCATTTAGCAAAAAGTATACTCTTTTCCACCTTCCTGTGTAGCTCATGTATCCCATACATTTCCAAAAATTTGCAGTTTCTTTCAAATCTGGATACACAAGATATGAAATTCAACAGCTGGTTAGCAATGGGAATAGGAGGGACGATGCCAGACAGTTAAGAGGACAGGGAATTTCAGAGAAGAAGGAAAGAATGACACACCCAGATAATAGAAAAGATCATCTGATGTGGATATCCAAGCTGCCCAGGCTCTGAAAACTTAAGGGTTCAGACTGCTGTAAACTGTGCTTTGAACACCCACATTTGGCAAAGGCCTATCTCAAGATCTTCTTTGCAATGGGAGGTCTGCTGCCTGTCCTCCCTTGCAAGCTGCCACTACTGAGAATCCTGGACAGATAAATGTTGACTTGGCACTGAATGGACATTCCTACAGAATAAGGATCGAGTCACTGATCAGCCAAGAAGCAGAGAAGTTACCCAAGGGCACATGCTGAGGATAAGTGACTAATCTGGAGAAAAAAAATAAGAAAACCCCACAAACCCCAAAACACCCCAAACGACTAAACCCCAGAACACTCAGGTAGCTAAGGACCAGCTGACTTAGTAAGTGAAACCAGCCCTAGAAAAGAAAGTTAAACAATACTTCAGTGAGAGGAGCACTCGTAACAGTCCTGAAGAAGCAGAGATGTTGACTTGAAGAGATAACCAAAAAGGCAAGTCTGAAGTCTCAGTGATATTGCTAGAGACATACTGCCAAGGGCAATCTGTGCTATGAAAGATTTTCCATACCTGTACTTCTATCTGCAGTATGATCCAAAGGTAGTCAGCAGGAGAGAAGCAACCAAAATAGTTGAGTGACAGAGGAGCATGATCTGATAAGGTACCTTAGCACTCACTTGTTTTTGTTTTTGTTTTTTTTTTTTCCACAGCAAGCAGCAGTAACACCTTCAGTGCCAGAGCAGGCTTAGTTTTGAATTCCAATATTCTGTGTCTACTTACTATCAAGTAATATTCAAGTTACAGAGCACAGACTGATAACTGTACTAAACCAGGTATGAGTGGAATAAAGAGGACTCTTACCCTGCCTGCCAGCTGGCTCTCTGGAACAGATCAGATCCCCTGTCATACCACCCCAATGGGGAATGATCGTCCTATTTTGAATTCACTGCTGTAGGTGAGAGACTCTACCCTAAGAGTTAACAATACAAAAATGACCCAGGGAATCCCTGTGATGAAGACACAGGATGCAGCCTTGAAAAAAAAATTGTTGAGCGAGGAAGCTGATATTCCACCTCCTATAAGGGCTCTGCAACCAAGATGAAAAGTAAAATATCACAGACAGCAGCAGGAAACTGCTTGCTGCCTTTAATCAGTATTTTTGATCAAATCCTCCATTT